AGGCGATTCCATACTGAGGGCTCAAACCCCAGACTCTTAGTTAAGGATGAAGGAATACTTACCGTTTCATCACCATCTTTGTTGGTTATTATGATTCTTTAATAGAAGTTGTCTATATTTGGACAAGGTTGTTCATATTAATCCTAAGGGATGCTAGAGGATTTTCTTTTCTGGACTGAATTCAAAGTTAAAGGTGGAAATATCGAATGCCCCCGAGAAACCTAAATACTGATAAAATTGATTTAACTCATTGACAATTTAGTGGGTGTTTGGACATAAGAATTTTAAATTTCCGGAACAAAGTGAAAAAAAATTTAAGTGAAAATGGTATTTGAAAATTAGAGTTGTGTTTGGATATGAATATAATTTGGGGCATTTATATCTATACCCGCTTTTTGGGTCACGTTTTAACTTGTGCCCGCTTTGCAAAAAAAATTGCAAGCGTACCCACTTTTTCGCGTAACTTCAGCATACGAGGCTGAAGTAGCAAAGGCAATCATGCAAAACTTCAGCATTCTAGTAGGCGGGCCTGAAGTAGCAAATGTGTTGAACCAAATGTGCTAAAATTTTTGTATGTAATTGCTGAACTTAAGCATAGTAGCTGAAGTTTTTGTTTGTAATTGCTGAACTTAAGCATAGTAGCTGAAGTTTTTGTTTGTAATTGCTGAACTTAAGCACAATAGCTGAAGTTTTGTTCTCTATTTGCTGAAATTTTTGTTTGTAATTGCACTAAATAAGCTGAAGTTTTTTTGTCCTGGATTCATTAGTTTTGTCATTAAGCTTTTTCAAAAACTTCAGCAGAAGATGCTGAAGTTATTTAGTTCATTTATAAAATCTTCAGCACTAAATAAGCTGAAGTTTTTTTTATCTTGGATAAGTTTTTTCAAAAACTTCAGCAGAAGATGCTAAAGTTATTTAGTTCATTTGTAAAAACTTCAGCACTAAAAGCTAAAAAAAAATTGTCCTGGATTCATTAGTTTTGTCATAAAGCCCTTTCAAAAACTTCAGCAGAAGATGCTGAAGTTATTTAGTTCATTTGTAAAAACTTCAGCACTATATAAGCTAAAGTTTTTGAAAAAGCTTTCTAACATACTAGATAAATAATCAGATTGCCAACAGTATCTAAGTCATAAATTTTGGAAATAATAAACGTGAAAAGAACAGAATTATCATTGTCTACTAACTTACGTACGTGGAAATATTCAGAAATTATTGTCTACTAACTTATATACGTAATTATTTATAATTTATTTTTAAATAATCTGATTAACATATTTATGGCAATCATCCCATGAACTGAAGTTTCATAGCAGCACCAACAGCAGCAGAAGATAGAAGAAGAAGAAAAAGAAAACGAAGGAGGAGAAGGAGGAGGAAAAAGGGGGCTGAAGTTGTTTAAAAAGTGGATACAAGTTAAAATTTTTTTAAAAAATGGGTATAAGTTAAATGAGGGTGACCAAATAGGGCGTCCCGTGCAATTTTTACATATAATTTTGGGTTGTTTTAAATTTTTGTGAGTGATCTGAGTGAAAATTTTGAAAAATAACTTTTTGGAGTTTTTCAAATTTTCGAAAAATTCCAAAACACATTTTCAAGTAAAAATTAAAAATTTTATGGTCAAATACTGATAAAAAAAGTGAAGTTTTTCAAAAAAATAAAATAAAAAAAACTACCTGGCCAAACGGGCTCCTAGTAATACTTGTCTGAATTCATACCATCTTATTTCTTTGTGGTAAAATGGCTGCAGATGGTATTTGGAAAAGACATTTCTTCTCTATTATTATGGGAGATCAGAGACTTGAATGTTCAGAAGAAACTCTGTAGACAGTACTAAAAGGCAACTGCATTTCTTTCAATTCTTTTGTCATTTAATTTGTCAATGAGTCAATACAAAGGATATCTGGACTTTGAATTTTGGCAAAACGACTATGGCGTAAACCAAAGTGGAAATATTCACCAATATACGCTTTAAATATTTCAAATGGGAAAACTCCTTTTGTTGTCTTGAAAAAAGGTTCATGATAAGGTTACAACTTATAAGGGAAAAGAATGTGGCTTATGAGTCATTTTTCTAATTTTTGTATGACGGAAAATATTTTTCATAAAAAAAGTCATTTTCTCGTGTTCCTATTTTTTTTAGGATAATATTTTCCATTAAAATACGAAAAATGACTTCCACCCACAACTTAGGCAAGAAAGTTATTTTTCTAAAAAAAAGTTACTTTTCATGAAAAATATTCGGAACATTTGCATCTATACCCGTTTTTTGGGTAACACTTTTTCGCGTAACTTCAGCATACGGGCCTGAAGTAGCAAAGACAATCACGCAAACTTCAACATTCTAGTATACGGGCCTGAAGTAGCAAAAACTGCTGAACCAAGTGTGCTGAAGTTTTTGTTTGTAATTGCTGAACTTAAGCATTCTAGTGTTGAAGTTTTGTTCTCTATTTGCTGAGATTTTTATTTATAATTGCTGAACTTAAGCATTCTAGTAGCTAAAGTTTTGTAATGCTAAAGTTATTTAGTTCATTTGTAAAACCTTCAGCACTAAATAAGCTGAAGTTTTTTTGTCCTGGATTCATTAGTTTTGTCATTAAGCTTTTTCAAAATTTCAGCAGAAGATGCTGAAGTTATTTAGTTCATTTGTAAAACCTTCAGCACTAAATAAGCTGAAGTTTTTTTGTCCTGGATTCATTAGTTTTGTCATTAAGCTTTTTCAAAATTTCAGCAGAAGATGCTGAAGTTATATAGTTCATTTGTAAAAACTTCAGCACTAAATAAACTGAATTTTTTTTTGTCCTGGATTCATTAGTTTTGTCATAAAGTTTGTTCAAAAATTTCAGCAGAAGATGCTGAAGTTATTTAGTTCATTTGTAAAAACTTCAGCACAAAATAAGCTGAAGTTTTTTTGTCCTGAATTCATTAGTTTTGTTATAATCATACTATTATAAAATAATCAGATTGTCAACAATATCCAAATCATAAAATTTTGGAAACAATAAACGTGAAAAGAACAGAATTATCATGAAAAGAATCACTAAGTATGACCTTAAACTTTCCGTACGTGAAAATATTCACAAATTATTATCTACTAACTTAAGTAATTATTTATAATTTATTCTTAAATAAACTGATAAACATACTTATGGCAATCATCCCATGAACTGAAGTTTTATAGCAGCACCAACAACAGCAGAAGAAAGAAGAAGAAGAAGAAGAAGAAGAAGAAGAAGAAGAAGAAGGAAAAGGAAGAGAAAATGGGCTGAAGTTGTTTAAAAAATAGGTACAAGTTAAAACTTTAAAAAAATGAGTATAAATTAAATGGGGCACGAAAAATATTTTGCATGGACTTCCATGTACCAAACACATAGTCCTGCATTTCAGCCCAAAATTTTGACTTCATGATCTGACCGAGAATTATATGTTTTAATTAAAGGTCAAGTAATAACACTCACTAACTTCACATTTCAATTGTCAAGTAATAAATGAAGGAAAATTTGTAACTTTTGTCGCTGTGTCCACACCGTGTCCAATAATAATCTAATACCAACCATGTTTTAAAAGTAGCGTAAAGAAGACCCAAAAGAAGTTGAAAAACAAATCTAGTATGCTTATAACCTTTGGGATTTTTACCTAGTTATAGTATAATAGAAATCTATTTATCACCTTTATTTAGGTCCTTATTAATTAATTTGTATATTTATATTTATAAATTATTATATACAAAACCATTAAAAAAAAATTCACGATCCCTTAATTTTAGCATGTCAGTTATACGACACCCACCCCATTTCAATAACCTTCCTTAATTTTAGCATGTCAGTTATACGACACCCACCCCATTCCAATAACCTCCCTGCATTTAAGATTTTATTTCTTTTTTCTCTCTTTCTTAATAATCACCCAAAATTTCTCTTTTATTTTTATACCCCCCCCACCCCCCAAAACAATTCCGATTCTTTTCCTTTTCCAAAGATTTTCAAACCTAATTTCTCTCTTTCTTACTAATCATCCAAAATCTTTATTTCTTATTGATACAATGCAGACGAATTCAGAATATTGCTTTAGAATCAAGTTGTGGGTAAGTTTTGAATCTTGTTTTCTTTCTATCTAAAATCTTTATTGTATGTGACTTGTATATGATACATAAATATCCAAAACAATACTTGATACAATACTAATACAATTCTAATACGATTATATTAGATTTTTAGTGTAGAGTTGTGATTGAAACTTGAATAAGATGAAGATCATAATTGTTTCACAATTTTTCAGAAATGTATCGTGATTTTATTATAATTGTATATGTATCATAATTGTTACAGGAATTGTATTACAAATATATATTCATTGTATATTCATTGTATATTCATTGTATATTGTTACGAGCAGTTGTGAGTTCGTGACGAATTTCACAGTTTGTATCTCAAACATATAATAATTGTATATTAATTTATTAGCATTGTATCAGGTATTATTTTGGGTATTAATGTACTAGATACAAGTTAGATACAATACAAGTATGATACAATTATATTTTAGGCATTGATGTATCTGATACAATTATAATTATGATACAATTATCATACAATTCTTGAATATTCTTCATTTCCAGTGTTGTCTAATCTTCAAGCAAAAGAATGATACAATTGACGATTTTTTAATAATATAAATCTATCGGCAATGGTAGGAAGAGAGAAGATGGAGATTTTGGGCGTAGATTAAGGGATTTTGATGTTAAAAAAAAAAGAGAGAAGAGGAGAGGGAAAAAAAAGGAAATGATGTAATTGAACCCCTTAATTGAAGGCACTAATAATAGAGTGAGAATCTTTTAAGGAGCAATGTATACAATTTGTAAGAAAAACCTAAATACTTATTAAAAACTACAAAACATAGAGATCATAGATACATGAGTTTTTAATATAGTATAGCTAATTAAAAGTCCCTATAATCTTTAGTACTACTTTGAGATTCAATATTTAGAAATTAGAACCATGAGCTTAAGAGGGCAAAAACTTTTATAGCCATAATTTTCTTCAGATTCTACCTCTGCTACACAAACTTTTTACTTTAAATAATCAAAATTCAAAAATCAAGGAAAAAATAATAACTAACTAGCTACAAATACCCCTACTAAAGTACATTTTTCTACTTATTATTTTTTATTTAGTGTATGGTATCCATTTTGAGACCCAACTAATCTAGATTCGCGTCAGTCCATTGTAGGGGTAAAATACTCCCGTCAAAAGGTAACTTCATTCCCAATGCTTGAACGTGAAAACTTCTGATTACGAATGAGGGGTGTTTACCATTCCATCACAACCTTCAGTGATCTTCTTATGCATAACATGGTTCCATTTTAATTAGTCAATTTTCTAGATTCCAAGAAACTTTTGCTCTTGTGTTCACAAGAGGAAAGGTATTCAAGAAAAGTAGCAAAGTCTGTATCCTTGTAAAGTTTGGGATTGGATTCATTGATGAGATTTGGAGAGGGCTGAATCTTGCAGCTATAAGGCAGGCTGTGTAGTGAAGCAACTGAGATTCTTGATTTTGAAGAATTTACAAGAACCCTATGTAACACACTTTTATACCTCCCATTGCTAAATATCTGTTCATCAAATGAATAAAGAAAAAAAATGAGATAGTGATAATTTCTTGAAAAACACATAATTTGTAACCAAACAAAATAATAATATAGTATCTCTATTTCATTCACCACGGTATATATTAGACGAACTATACATATATTTAGAGCATCAAGCTTGTAGCTTGTGATTCTTTTGTGTGTGTTTACAACTATTAATTTAGCATTTAATATATTCAATTGTGAACATCTTATATTCGTTTACTCTAGGATAAAGAAAGATCATAAAGCTAAAATTTTGTAGAAGGGAATTTCACCCTTAATAGTTTTGAAATTCTTTACAAATAAGTATGTAAGTATTTCAATTGGAAACATCGAAATTTAAAATTCTTTTGTAAAAACATCTCCATTATTTCTCATTTCCATTATTCTTATTTCCTTTTCTTTCAATCCAAATTTTCTTTTTTACTTTTCCCCATTGATGTTGAATAATACTTCCTAGGTTTCAGATAGAATGAAGGAATTCGAAATGCGAGAGTCAAACATTTTAATTTTCTATCTCAATCGTCCATCAACTTCTTCATCTTCTTAAATAAAATTTGACGTAACTAGTTTAAAATTACTATACATAATAAAAAAAAAACTTAAAATTATATGAAAAAATTATCTTTAAACAAAAATTTGTTCGACTTCCTAATATAGTAATAGTGTGGTATAAAATAAAACGAAAGTGGCCTCAAGGTCCCCGGCTTTGACAAGAAAGTTGTTTAACATCCAAATATAATAATAGTATCATATAAAACCCTGACTTTGACAATAAAGTTGTGCAACATCCTAATATCGTAATAGTATCATATAAAATGAAACGAAGCTGACCTCAAGATGGTCCCCAACATTGACAACAAAGGAGTTGAGAATGGGCTCAACAGTTAACCATTTTTCTTGATGTTGTATTTGTAAACCTTTCACTTCATCTTGGAGGAGAAGTGTGAGTAAGCCATAGTCAGAATGTGGTGGCATCCCAAGTGTTAAATCTGGCTCTGGACAACAAGGGTAGCAATTCAATACTAAGAGTTGGCTCCCATCCTCAAATTCTTTCAAACTTTCATTATTTTCCTTCAATATTCCCAAGCTTTCAAGAATTGCCCCTATTAGCAACTGGTACAACAACTTTGTTTGCTTGGCATAATTTGCAGCTGCCTCCCTATTAATCAATTAAAACATATATAGTATTAACTATTTTTGTCAGCCATAAAGGAAAAAAAAGGTTCAAGATATATAGTATTAAAAAAAGCTTCACTTTGCTTAACATGTAATAACAAGGTAGTTACTAGTTTTATCATATTACAAACTTAGAGTTTAACTTCTATATGCTGATAGTGCAAAACAATATTATTCTATTAGGTCATGACCTAAAAGATACTTAATTATAGGTGTGTGTCCATAAAAGCAGCCAACCTGCTACAGTAAGTCAAAGTACAGTAATTAATATTAATGTAAACATTCTTTACTCCCTCAACTTGGAGTGGAGTTAGAATACAAAGTTATGTGCTGGCCAAATGCAGTAGTTTTTTTTCAAACTCCGTATTTGTCTTACAAAATCCATTGAATATGCACAAATTATTATCAATCCAGAACCCTAACTTAAATTGGCTAAGCTTCAAATTCCTGCTCGCCTCTGCTCTCAGCGTACATAAGTTAAATCCTACAAATTAATGGAGTGCTTATTATAGATATTGACTCATAATTATCTTTAAATGACCCGATAGTGTGATAAATTAAGTTTTTATACAATGGGTAGGAACTTAAAATTCTAAAAAAAATAAAAACTACACTGTAATTAAATAGTATTCGAGTTGACTTTGGAGATGATTAAGTAAGCTATCTATTGAAGTTAGTTATGGCATATTATAATGCAAGTGAGGGATCCTACTCTTATTATACAAGTTGACTTTGTTTTTTAAAATATTGAATAGTTAATTAGTCACCTGAGATGTACAGGAGAAGAGGGCCAAAGTGAGAGGAGATCACTTGATGACAAAGAATGGCAACTAAGCTTGAGAAAATCCCTCCAACAGAAAACTCCATCTTTGTTTTGGTTAAAGCTTGTGCCAAGACGTACTGGTGCTTGCATATCGGTAGACATGTATTTTGCTCTTTCTTCAAATGGGAGCTCAAAAAACTTTTTACCAACTTCAATTATGTGCTCTATTATTTTGCTAGGTATACCATGATTTACCAACTGCACATCAACAAAACAAAAAAAATGGGTTAGCTATAAATAATCTCATTCTCTTCATTTTTTTTGTTAAGGAGATAAAATAATTTATTTATTTTCAAGCATCGGACTGGTCTGACTATTCCAAATTCGAGGAGTTATTTTGCATTTTTTTTGTTGTTAAAAATGACTTAGGAATTCATTTCTAGAGTTTAAACCCGAGACCTCTCGCTAAGGGTAAAGAATGTTTGCCATTCCAACCACCGTACGGTGGTGACTCAATAGATGTCAAGTGGCAACACAAGAATGAAACATTCTATGCTAGAGACTTTATTTCAGAGGCGGATCTATGACGGCGTTTGTGAGTGTAAATAAACTCCTTAATTTGAGCTCAAACTACGTATACATGCACTTAACAATTTAGTTATGAAGAGATGTAGTCGTGTCTTTTTTGTCCTTCTAGAATTATATTTAACGTCCCTTTATGATTTTTCCGATTGGCGCCTTGGGTCGGCAGCTGGCTCCAAGGCATTATTGCCACGGCTACTATCGACCCGAGCCCAAAGAAGGAAAAGAACGTATTAAAGCGAGGAGTAAAAGAAGAAGAAATATGATCCCTATTAGTAATTCATATGAGAAAAATAAAAAATAAATGGAAGAAAGTGGTTAAATTAAAGGAAAAGTGGACAAATTTCAATGTTACAAAAAAAACTATACCTGAAAAAAGCCATACTCTTCACAAGCTTTGGCTAGTGATTTGAGAACTTGGGATCTGTTGGGTCCTAGTAATTGAGCAAAATCAATAATGGGCAAGTTGAGGTTTTCATCAATTTTTTCTTCTTTATTCACAATTACTGGTCTATCTGAAACTGGCAATATATATTTTCTTGGAATTTTAGTAATCCCATTTTCACATAAATGCCTAACTCCTTTTTGATATCTACTCTCAGTATCTTCAACAGTCATATTCATTGCTGGACACATTATATTTTGTGTACTAAAATGGTTGGATCGGAGAAGGAATTAGAGAGAAGGGTTTTAATTTGGTGAGTTTTTATTTGAGAAACAATGTATTTATATAGGAGAAACAACGTGAGAAAAACAGTGTTAGTTACTATAATTTCCATGCAAAAACACAAGTGTTGACTTGGTATGGGTCAAACAACGAGGCTTTTTGGTAACAAAGGAACTAGTCTTTTTCTTTCCCTTCTTTGTGGCCCCCTCAACTAAGACAATTTCAACTTTCAACCCTTGTGGACCAATCTATATATATTTCTGACAAGAGGGGTTGCTCATATGAGCCCGTTTGGATTGACTTAAAAAAAGTAATTTTTAAGCACAAGTGCTTAAAAATACTTTTTAAGTGATAGAGCTGAATTTATAAATAAGTTGTTATGTATTTGGATAAAAGTGCTGGAACTAAAAAAAGTTGTTGAAATGTTTGGTAAACAAGTGCTCGTAAGCACTTTTTCTATTAAAATGACTGAGATATCCTTAAAGCTGTTAACACTATAAAGAAGCTTATTACTATAATATTTTATTTTAAAATTATTAATATAAATATGAAATAATTTGTTTGAACTGATCACCTAAAATAAGACTCAATCTGAATTGTATGATTATTGATGTAAAAAAAATAGTATGAAATGGAAAGAAAATAGTTGGGAAAAACTTTAGATAATCCCAACTAGATGAGTGGCGGTGGACAAAAAAATGAAGTAAAAACTCAAAATGTAAATCAAATCAAGTGTTACCAACTGGAGAAGAACCAGAAAGAAAAAGAGTAAAATGAAGAAATACAAGGGAGGAAATCGCAGGAATAGAGAACAAATTGGGATTTTGTTGTGAAGGACATTTTTGGAATAATAAATATTATTAGGGATAAGAGGGTAAAATATTTGGTCAAAGATAGTTTGCCAAACACTCCCAATATCTGAAAATGGCTTAAAAGCAAGTTTGACCAGCTTTAAGCCAATCCAAACAGGCTCATGGTCAACACCCTCCATTTACAACCTTATTCAAGGTTGTGGGTTCGAGTCACCAAGGGCGCATAGCTCCAACAAAAGAGATCGAAGAGGAATCAAACTAAAGCAATTGAAGCAAAGGCTTTAGGCCCAAAATTTTGGGGGTCCCATTTTTTTTAAATTAAAATAAGTTTTATGGTTAATTTTTTGAAAATACATTTAATGGTAACAATTTCAAAATTTTATAAAAAATTAAAAAGAACTATGTAGCAATGTGATTGATAAGCTATACTATCAATTAAAAAATACTTAAAGAAATTGATTATAAAAAATTATTACTTAACAACTTTGTATCTCAAAGAACTATAAAAATAGGCTTCAATTATATATATATATATTCCACTCTCAAGATCTGCCCTATTTTGTCTACGCACAAGGGACGTTCAAATAAAGAGGTTATACTTTGAGAATTCTTTTTCTCGTTTTCCCCTTGACTTGTCTAGAGAATCTTAAATTTTCTTAAAATATCAGAAGTTGCAGGTAATTGCTAGCCGGGGGCAGAATTAAATTAAAGAGCTCAATCACGACCCAATTTCATTATAGGTTATGATGGCGCCCAACATCATTGTCAGGTAAGCCAATGCAGAAATATTAATAAGTTCTAGATTTATTTTACTAAAACAGTTACAGCAATTTCTTAATTTGAATTTAAAACAAGTGATAATTAGTAACGTACAAAAATAATTATACAACCCCAAAAGAATAGTCTATCAATGTGTGTGTCAAGACCTGGTGTCACAAGTATGTGAGCATCTAGTAGAATATACAAAAGAATAAATCTATCTTACTGTCTGAAATAGAATAGACAGCCAAAAGTACAGAGAGACTCCATCATGTTGTTGAACGGCATAGGAATGGAGCAACTCACCGTGGAAATCTCGGACTACGATCAACGCGCACCAGACTGGTAGCCAGATGTACCTACCTCAGATCCTGTACAATTAAATACAGAAGTGTAGTATGAGTACATAACCAATATGTACACAGTAAATATCTCGTCTAATCTCGAAGAAGTAGAGACGAGAGGTCGACTTGATACTTACTAGGGTCAAATAATATAAGAAAGTATTATGCTAAGCATGAATGTCACAAATAAATAACAATTTATAGCAAGAAGTGATAAGTCATGTCCTAGATAATATCACAGTTAGCCATTTACATTTCAGTGCATTTAACAAAGTAAGTCATGAATAAGATTTCACATAGATATCATGCGCACATTATGCCGAGGTCGTACGGCCCGGTCCAACAGAAAAGAAACTGAGCACTGCCAGAGGGTCGAATGACGCGAACCATAGATGCATCTATTTCTACCAAGGTGATCGGCCCGATCCTCAAATATCAATTATCATCAAGAAAGTACATAAAGGCACATTTATATTCAAATAAATTCATACAAATGTTCAAGCAAGTGCATACGTTCACATATGTTCATTTTCAAATCTCTAGCATATCTTAGGTGGTCTCATTAGCATGAAAGGACATAAACATTCACAAATATGGCATGATACGGGTCCTAAACTATCCGGACAATTAACATAATAGTAGCTGTGCACGGACTCTCGTCACCTAGTGCGTACGTAGCCCTCGTATTTAAAAGCAATTTATCCAATTATTTTACCTGTGGGGACAATTCCCTCTTACAAGGTTAGAAATGAGACTTACCTCGCTCCAAAGCGTACTTCCAATACCAAGAATGTGCTCAAACCCTCAATTTGGAGCCGAACGATCCAAAACTAATTAAACGAGGTAGGAACTAGTTAATACAAGTTCAAGAGTTCATATTTTAATTACTAAAGTAATTTTCCAACCTTTAAGCACAAGTTTCCTAAAATCCGACCCCGGACCCACGTGCCCAGATTCCGAATTTTTTTCGAAGAAAGTCATTCTTTATAACCTAAGGATCAATAATATATGATTTATACTTCATTCCATAACAAATTTCGTGGTTAAATCTAACTTTTATCAAAACTCTAGGTTTTGCTCTAATCCCATGATTTTTCCTTAATCTTTATGTGTTAATCTACCCAAGGCTCAAATATTAAACTAGAAATAAGTACGATGGACTTACCTCAAGATGCTAGGTGAAATTCCTCTCTTTGAAAGCTCCCAAATCGCCCAAAGAAAGGTGGAAATGTGTTAAAAATGACACATTCCTGTATTAAATGAAGGCACTGCCTTCAGCGATTTCCGCACCTGCGGTCAGGGGACTGCATTTGCGGTCTCGCTTCTGCGAGAGGGGGTCCTCATCTGCGGAGTTAGGCCAGGCGAGCTGGGATTGCTTCTGCGGTCTTTGAGCCACTCCTGCTTAGCCGCTTCTGCGGAGAAGGAGTCACATCTGCGGTTCCTAGGCTCCTCCCCTTGGCGGCTTCTGCGATGTGTTGACCGCACCTGCGGCTGACCAATCGCAGGTGCGGTTATGACAGATAGCAAGCTCCTTTCCAATTTTTTCCAACTTCACTCGAGCCTCGTGTGATTGACGCTCGGGGCCCCTGGGATCCGCCCGAATATACCGACACGTTCGAAATCATAAAACTGACTCGCTCGAACCCTCAGAACGCCCGAAACAACGCTAAATCTAAGAATCACCCCCTAAAATTAATTAAATCAAACTTATGAATTTCAAGTTCTTCAAATTACTTCTAACGCGCCGAAACGTACTTATACTACTCGGAGTGACACCAATTTTGCGTGCAAGTCTTAAATGATACTACAGAACTATTCCCGATCTCGGAATTCCGTTCGGACCTCGATAACGCAAAAACCCGCTCCAATCCAACTATTTAAGAACTTAAAAATTCTTAAGGAATCAACTTTCACTATTAGGCACCAAAATGCTCTCGGATCATCCAAAACCCGATCCGGACATACGCCCAAGTCTGAAATCATCATACGAACCTGTTGGAACCTTTCAATTCGGATTTCGAGGTCGTTTACTCAAAACGTTGACCGAAGTCAAACTTGGCATTTTAAGCCAACCTTAAGGAACCAAGTGTTCTGATTTCAATCCAAATCTCGAACAACCATTCCTGCAAGTCATAAATCAGTAAAAGCAAGTATGAGAAGTCTTATCTAAGGGGACGGGGTTCTAAAAAGCAAAACGACTAGTCGGGTCATTACAAGCTCCTAACAAAGTTAAAGGTATAATTTTTACAAATATCTGATTTTAGAGCGGCTAATTAAAATATAACCAGCATTTGCAAAGTAATAGTAATTGAAAGATAACTATAATTTTAGCCATTCTCAAAGACGCTATTTAGAGATTAGTTAGTACTAATTTTGTCTTGAATTTTTAAATTAAAAATCTTAACTTTAGGACAACTCAGGACATTTTTGTCTTGAAAAATTAAACTAAAAACTGAAATTTATAATGCAATGGCTAATTCCTAACCCTTTAGAGTAGCTACCTGATGTCATTTCTACTCCTCTATGCCCCACGTCATATTTATAACCTGTTGGTGATTGATCATGATTAATAGTCCATTTGACCAAGTTTTTTTTTTACCAAAAGTATTTTTTTCTACTTCCAGAGTTGAGGTGTTCGGCCAACATTTTAGAATTTGCCAAAAATGCTTTTGAGTAAAAGCATAAACAGTTTTTAAGAATCATAAAAAAATAGCTTTTCTCCAAAATCACTTTTTTAAAAGCACTTCTGAAAAAAAATACACTTAGAAGCAGTTTTTAAAAGTTTGACCAAACACTAATTACTATTCAAAAGTCTTTTCAAATTAATTAGCCAAACACAAACTACTTATCACCAAAAAAAATTAAAGAATATTTAAAAAAAAAATTCAAAATAAGCTGATTTTAGAAGTTTAACCAGACCGGCTATAAGTGCGTTCTTGCCATAATTGGATGCTCGCTAGAGGCAAACATACATAGACCTCATTTTAAAGTACTTATTTTATTATGAAAAGTAAGTGCCTGTTGAATTGACTTATTTTAAGTGTTTTTAAGTTAAAATAGCTTTTAAGCTATTTTGTCGTGTTTGGATAAAATAAAAA